TTACCTGCCCAGGATCCTAAGGAGTATGGGCAACAGAGCGAGGATCAGTCCTCAGCATTCCTTGTCCCTCTTCATTGTCATGTTTGTTTTTCATTGCTCTGGCTGCCCGTAAACCTGAGCCTCTGTGATTTTGCTCCCGTATGCCTCCTAGTTTTCTTCTCTTCTAACACCATTTCAGTTCTTTTAGGGTAAACCTTGTGTTTTTGTTTTATGCTCAGAAAATGCTTTATTGAGCAGATGCTTCCTAGATTTGCACTCATGTGTTTTCTTTCTTTTTTTTTTTTAGAGCAGTACATCCTAGTAAACTTTCAAGGCATCCAGAAATCTGGTAGATTGGCAGGAATTCTAAATTAATACATTTAATTTATTTGCATAAATATTATTTAGTTTGATATCAGGCCTTCTTATCCCCAGTATCTGCTGGGTCCTTTCTATGACACTCTCACAGTTTTTAGAAATCACTCTTGGGAGGTTGACCCCAAGCATTGATTGAGATACAGGATGTAGAGAGGTTTAAAAAATTATTTAAAAGGTGGTATTTGAGGGGAAAAAGTCAGGATATATTTTCATTAATCTCCAGAAAAGGACCATAAACATAACTCTTTTTTTCCCTCATCTTTTTATTTTGAAACTTACTGCTACATTCATATACCACCTCCCATGCCATCCTTCAATACATGATTTTGTTGATCATTTAAAACAAAACAAAAAATGTAACTAAGGCCTTTTGCTTTTCTCAGTTGTTTAAAAGACTCCAGGTGTGAAAATCAAATATACTTATGAACTAAAAACGTGTTCTGTTTTTTGACTAGTAGTGAATGAAACTAACCAAATGCTCTCAACTAGGCCTTGTGATATACAGAGAAAATGAGCACAGGTCATAAATTAGCAAATTGTCTTTTTCCCTCCCATTCAGGCAATAGGTACTTACTAGTTACTAGGTCTGGCCAGTACCTACCATTCCTATATGCTTTGTATGATTTGAGTCACCTCCTGTTTGTGAGTCAATTTGTCTGTTCTTCCTTACTTTCTTAAAATAGCATTCCCGGGAGCCAGGAGGTGTAGTGGTTATGGTGCTGGACTCCCATGTGGCTGACTGCAGTTTGAGTCCTGGACCCAGCGGCTTGAAAATTATACCAGGCACATGTGTGAGTGAGTGAGTGAGTGAGTGCGTGCGTGTATGCATGCATGCACATGCACACCCCCAAAATCCCAGGAGGAGAATGAAGGTGAAGGAATTGTGTCATGGCCATCCCCTAGGGTGGGGGGTGATTTATCACTTTCCTTCTCATTGTCTCTCTGTGTCTCTCCAACAAGCATATGTGCCCTATGGCAAAAATGTTTTTAAGAAAAGCAGTCCTGAAAGCACTTCACTAGCTCAGTCATTTTAAGATTTTAGCCATGGTTCTCTACCCTGCTAATAGGCTTGCTTTCTCTCTAGTGATTGCTTCCTACTACCTGCTTATAAAAGCTTTCTCATCACCCTTATCATTTGCTTCATTAATGTGATTTCCTTCTGTTAAATGCCTTTTCACTCCCCTCTCTATGTAGCCATTGAATTATTGAGTGCATTTTGTAAAGTTTCCTCTCACCCTATTTTAATTTCATGTACCACATTTTTGTTCCTTTTGCAATGATATTGCTTCCTATAGTTGGATTTTAGAATTTTTCTTTTTAAGGAGATTGTATTTTTAATTATATTTGACCTAGTTCCCTGGAAGCTACTAAGAAGTTTAAACGGCCTATGTGAAAATATGTCAGTGTCCCATTTTAGCATATCTATGTAACATTTATAATTTATACTCTGCCTGCATCCCAGAGGGATGTGAGGTGGCTTTATGATAAAGGAGAAAAGCCCTACATGTCCAACAGTACTGTTAAAAATAGTCAGAAAGAAACATCAGAAACTGTTTAAAGGAATCTGTAACACCACGTACTTATCAAACACGAGAAAAAAATTCCTAAAAAGAAGAACATAACCTTTTCATTATGCAACGTCTTTGCTATTCTATATAAACTAGTAGTGTAAGAAGGTTATAATTGTGGTCTGAAAATATTTTTGTGGAGTAACAAAATGACTGACATTATTTCTCACTTTTTTCCCCCTAGAAATTTTTGTTCTAGAAATAGGGAACCGACTACTGTTGTTAACTTCTTCAGTCCAACTTTCCCGTTCAGATGTACCACTAACAACTACCACTTATTTACTGATCACCTGCAGTGTACCAGACATTGAGCTGGCGACTGGATGTACGTTACCTCATTTAGGCCTCATCATCGGGCTGTGAGATAGATGGTATTCCTTTGTGTTAGAGATGAGGAGGCAACAGTCTAAGTAGGTAATTGGCTCAGAGTCACAGGATAGTAAGTGGTAGAGTGAGGGTTTAGTAAATGGTAGAATGAGAGTTTGAATCCAGGTCTTTCTCAATACTCTATTCCCTTTCTATTAGTCTGCGGTGCTTCTTGTTTTTTAAAAAAAATGTGCTGGGTACGTTAGCCATTAAATCTTTTAGTAGTTATCTTTTCTTCCAGTTCTGCTCAGTGAAGGGATTCCTAATTGGGATTCAACGATATGCTTAACATGGTATTTTGATTTGTATGTATGTATGTTTTCAAATAATTAATTTTCTTCCTTGTGTTCTATATTATGTTGAAATTCTGTGATGGGACTTACTGCCCTACAGTGTCCTTGGAGGAGTCCAGAGAGAGGGAGAGGGGCAGTGGGATGGGTATGAATGAAGAAGTATGACCAGCTGTGCCCACCCCTGGTGCTAGCGGTTAGCTGCAACTTTAAGACAGAAGGGCACTAAGAGTTTATTGAGACATATACTTTACCTGTGTTATCTCATTTAATTACAACAGGCTTTGTAGTAAGTGATTTTGACTTCAGTTTACAAATGAATAAACCAAGGCACTGAGAATTAAATTTATCCAAAGTCACACAAGTAGAAAATGGAGTTATCAGTATTCCATCAAGCAACACAGAGTTCTCTGACCCCAAAGGCTATGGCCTTTCTCTATGTTCTATTTTCTTTTCTTTTCTTATTTTTTTTTTCCAGAAAGATTTTTGCTTTAGGGCATGTACACTCACCAGAGACACAGGGAGACAGAGAAAAGGCAAGAAATTACCCTCCCAGGGAGGATGGCCACACTACGGTACTTTCTCCTCCATTCTCCTCTTGGAATTTTGGGCATGCACACATACATGCCGGTGTGAGTTTCAAGCCACCAGGTCCAGGACTCAAACTGCAGTCGACTACATGAGAGTCCAGCACTTTTACCACTGTGCTATGGTCCTGTTCTCTTTTCTAATAACAACAGTAATAGCTGGGGTTCTTTGTTTGTTTAGATTCTATTTTGTTTTTAAAGAATTCTTTATTTAATTTTGTTATTATTACTATTCAGTTTGAGCAGAGAGAGTCAGAGACATTGAAAGAAAGCAAGCTGCCAGATTCAGGACTTGAACCATGGTCACTCACATGGGAGTCCAGTGTGTTAACCACCATGCCACCTGTCGGCCCTGATAATAGCTGATTTTTATTAAGCTTTATCTACATGTCAGGCAGATTTCTTACCACTTTACTAGATTATGTTATGCATTCTTTACAACAAACAACCTGATGAACTGCATACTCATTACCTCCTCTTTACAGGTGAGTAAAGTAACATGGCCAGAGTCAGAGAGTAGAAAATCAGTGATAGTCTCTGCTGTAAGCCTCCTTGCTTACAAAGTATAATTTTAAGACATTTCTACCGACTAGAGCTATGCCTTCTAGTCCTCCTCCTTACCTCCCTTACCTGCATAACGAAAATAGAGCGGTTAGGTAGTAGAGAAGAAGAGTTTGCCTTTTTAGAGGCGTGTGTGTGTGTGTGTGTGTGTGTAAGAATTATTAGGAGAAATTCTTTTCTGTGAGGAATTACATGAGTACAGCATTTAGCACTACAGGCGATCTGGCAAGGCTATTTAGATAAGCACTGCTCATGGTACTTGGCTATGATGAATTAAACAGTGATAATCTCTGCTTTCTTAGCCACTTCACTAAAGATAAAAAACGTAAGCCTTTTAAAACCAGGTTGCAGGAATATTTCATAACCCCAGTCTTGTCCTGCCACTACAATCAGTTTATCAGTAGCGATTTGCTTTACTTTCTGTTCTTGTGGCCAGGAACCTACAGTTGAGTATAGGCTTTTGCTGCTTTGTTTTGGTCAGCACCTGCTTGATAGAGCAAGCATTATATGGTCTGGAAGTGTCCACAATTTGCCTTTGTACCACGATGAAGCATACTTCCATGAAGTGACCTGACCTTTGCAGTACACACAGCCAGTGCCTTGCTGTTCTCTAGTCTCCAATATTAAGAACATGGCAACACTCATAATGTAATGCTTTGGCTGTATACAGCTTTTTGCAGGAAGTGTTGTGTATACTGAAGTGATACTGATTCAGAACCCGTATACCTGTTGTTCTTTGAATTTATTTTCCTTCATAGTTTACTGTTGTTCATTTAACAGAATCCCTTTAAACCTTTTATTTAAACCAAATAAAACTTAAGAATTAAAAAACTGGGTCCGATTCTATGCTCAGATGTTTACTAGCCCTGTTGGCTTTGGGTAACTTATTTAACGGCTCTGGATCGCCGTTTCTTATCATGAGGATTAGGGACAATGTATGATAAGCACCTAGTACAGAGCCTGGCACAGAGCAGATGTTCAATATGAAAAAGCTGCTATTATTATATTTATTATAAAATGCAAAGATGATCTTATTATGTACAAGCTTAGGATTTGTTTTGTTATGGTAGTAAATAGTGTTTCCCTGTGGACTTCTTTGTACTGCTTATGTGCAATGCAAGAAAAACAGTAGAATAGTGTTTGCAATAGGGCAAGATAGCTCTTTGTTCTCTTCAGCAGACAAAAGAAGCTCATTATCGTATCAAGTAGTGACTGTTGCTATTGAAATGGTTTATTTGTATGTTTTTTTTTTTTTTCTGTTTCTTTCCTAGGGATTTATTTGTGGCTTTTCAGTAGCAACAGGTGCAGCAGCGAGACTAGTGTCAGGATACGACAGCTATGGAAATATCTGTGGGCAGAAAAATGCGAAGTTGGAAGGAATACCAAACAGTGGCATGGACCACACCCGTCGGAAGTGAGTAGACTTGCTGAATGATGAACATTATGGAAACTTTGAAGGGGGACCAGAGAAAATCCTGCTTTTCTTACTGCTTTCAAGATAATTACCTTACTGAACAATTTTATATAACTCCTGTTGGTGTTTTTGATTTTAAAAAAAACTGTACTTGAATCATTCCTGTTTTCAGTCTATAAATACATTATCCAGGAAACTGAATTAGTTGCTATGTTAAAATGGGCCACCTTAAGGTTTTAATGGGTAAAGACTCGGTTTGAAAAGTTACTATCATACTCTGTTTTCTCATTAGTCTTTAGGTGGTACACTAAGTTTTAACCCTGAAAATAACATGACATTTTTCTTCCTAAGAGTGTACTTGATGGAACACAGAGGGATGATAATAGGTTTTGAAACATTAAAGTTATTAGGACATATGATGCACCATGTATATGTACATCAATTTTCAGTTTTACAGAGGATCCTTTTCTTGTCATTCTGTAAAATTTATTTTGAGTTCTTAATATTCATCCTGTGGATTTCATGAAATTTTAACTTAACTGACTTTTTTTTCTTCGAAAGAGCTATTATTTCATGTGTAACATCTATAAGAAAAATATATTTCATCCCCTAGGGGATGACCCCATGATAATCCATTCTCCTCCCAGAATCTTTTTTTTTTTTTTTTTTTGAGAGGTTTTTGCTATAGGGCACGTGCGCTCGCTGGACAGACAGACAGACAGAGACATAGAGACAGAAAGCGAGAAATCACCCCCCCATGGGGGATGGTCATGCCACAATCCCTTTTCCTCCATTCTCCTCTCGGGATCTTGGGCACTCACGCACACGGCGTGAATTTTGAGCCACCAGGTCCAGGACGCGAACTGCGGTCAACTATGTGGGAGTCCAGTAACAAAGCCATTGCGCTAACTGCTGGTCCCTGAGCTTTTCTCTTAATAGGCACTTTGGGAGGCTTGTTTTTATCTGTCCTTGATGAGTGCATGAAAAAATTAATAAGAGATTTTAGACCTTGTATTATTTCTTGTAGCAAGACTTCCCATATCTTCTGTTACTTTTTTTATTTTTAAATTTACTTTTCATTTTGAAATAATTTTAGACTGGTAGAAGTTACAAAAAGAGTACAAGGCGTTCATTGTATTTTTTTCTGCATATCATTTATGCTGTAAAATATTATCTCTTTAATGCTATTGACATGTACCAAATAAAAAATATTCCATTTAAATAATTGAGGAAATGAGAGGGAAAATGCTGTACTTGGGTTTACTGCTGCGGTCGTAATCATTATACAGTTTCTTTCCTAACTTGCTATCTGATGGCTCCCACTATGCCCTCGCCTAGGTGAAGACCACTGTTTATACCTAACGTGATGGTGTTTTATTTGGTCAGTGCAGCAGATTTCAAACCCTTGGATTATCTGATGTATATTTTGGCCTCTTGCAAAGAGAGACTGCTTATTATTCTGAAAAAGTGCTCGCTTTTCCCTGAATGTGTAGCATAGTTGAGAGCCATTCATGTACAGCTGTTGGGAAAAATAGTTTCCCAAGTATAGCTATTTCTTTTTGTTGTTGTTAATTTGCTATAGGGCACGTGCACAGTGGAGAGAGACAAAGAGAGAGGAGAGAGAAAATGAGAAAGCCCCTTGGGGGGGATGGCCACAGTGCAATCCCTTTTCCTCCATTCTCCTCTCAAGATTTTGGGCATGAAGGCACACACAGTGAGGTGGTTTTTTTTTTTTTTTTTTGAGAGTTTTATTTTTTTGTTTTGTTTTGTTTTATACTATAGGGTGCGTGCACTCGCCCGAAAGATAGACAGAAAGCGAGAGATTACTCCCCAGGGGCAGATGGCCACGCTGCAATCCCTTCTCCTCCATTCTCCTCTCAGGATCTTGGGCATGCACGCACACTTGCCCAGCATGAGTTTAAGCCACCGGGTCTGGGATGCAAACTGTGGTCGACTACATGAGAGTCCAGCGACATTGCCATTATGCCATCTATTGTTCCCCAAGTATGTTTTTTAAACCACCAGGTCAGCCATGTGGGATCCAGCTACCTTAATCACCACACAAGTTGCCTGGCCCACAAAGGTATAGCTATTTCTTTTTCTTTCTTTCCTTTTTTTTGTAGAGGTTTTTGCCATAGGGCACGTGTGCTTGCCAGACAGGCAGAGACAGAGAAACAGAAAGCGAGAATCTTTTTTTCTTTTTTTTTTTTTTTTGGGAGGGTTTTTCTTTTTTTCTTTTTTTGGAGAGGTTTTTGCTATAGGAGGGTGCATGTGCTCACCACAAAGACAGAGACAGAAAGCAAGAAATCACCCCCCCAGGGGGGATGGCCACACTGCAATCCCCTCCTGGGATCTTGGGCACGTATGCACATGCGCCCAGCGTGAGTTTGAGCCGCCGGTCCAGGACTCGAACATGGTCAACTACATGGGAGTTCAGCAACATAGCCATTAAGCTATTTCTTAATTCTCATGTGTGTTTAAAATTTATTTTTGAGCTCTACTTCATTTCGGCAGTATGACTATTCTAGTGCTAACCCATCTAATACTTTTGTCTGTAAAGGGTAATTTGTTGTAATGAATAATAAATTTTTGAACATACTTAACATAAATTTTTGGGGGGTAAGTATATAATACTTAGATTTGGAAAAAGGCAGGAGGGCAGCAGTCTTTGTGTTTGTTACTTTTATTCCATCCTCTTTTCTCTTGCCAGATGCATTGGTTGCCTTCTTTCATACTTAATTTTCTCATACTTCTTTGGCTTCATTATGAACTCAGACCCTTCCATAGTGATAGGCCCTTTTATACTGTTTGGAGTGCTATGACCTTGATCACTTTCTCTTAACCTTACCTGGTACTTATTAGGACCTCCATATGCATTTGTTGAATAAGTCAATGACTGACTCTAAAATCTCACATGTAACTCTTTATTGCCTTCATGCATATTGTTTCCTCTATCAGAAAAAAAAGAATCTTCCCGTCCTTCATGTGGCTAAAATCTACTGATCCTTCCATTCAAGCACAAATGTTCCTTCCCAGAGAGGTCTTCTTTGATTTCATAATTTATTACTTATTTTTTTCTTTTATTTCCTTCTCTTTTTATTTTATTTTTAAGAGAAAGTGCTTTAATTTTTTTTACATAGTATTTATTTATTGTTTTTTTTATTTTTAGAATTAGTCTTTTTTTTCCATTTCATTTTCTTCCATACATTCGATCACATTATTATTTGTCTTACAAAATGGATATTTTGACAGGTGAACATTTCATAATTTAAATCAATTATGCCAACTCATTCTCTGCATATCCTGTAATTTTGTGAGTTTGTTATGTTATATTACATTATGTCCCACCTAGTGCAGTGAGAGGAAATGAGGTCTGATTTATTCACTGTTGAATCCTTACGGCCTTGCCCAATGCCAAAAGCCTAGTAGGCACTCAGTCATATTCTTGTTGAATGGACAGATAAATTTATTTCCTTGGACATGCTCTAAGAAGTGAATCACCGAATCTGAGGATCTAAATATTTTAAGATTATCAATGCATATTGCTGAATGGCTTTCCATGGAGACTGTTCCATTTACATTCCCACCAACAGTGTCTAAGATTGCGCCATCTTTGCTAGTATTATTAGTTTTATTCTTTACTAATTTGTTAGACCAGAAATGGTGTTTTATAGTTTTAATTTGCATGTCTTTGATTATTAATGAGTGTGAACCTCTTTCCCCACATTTGTTAGCCTCTCATGAAGACTGTTGTGTTAACGTATCTATTTTTGATCTTATCTCAAATCTGCACCAGCCTTTATATCATGATAGGATTAAGTTCTTGGAAACAGGGCTTTTATTTTGTCATTTCTCTGCTCTAGAGCCTCTGTCTTTCCACGCTTCCCACAGTTTAGACCCTTTTCACCTATTCCGGCTCTTCTTGCTTGACCTCAGTGTGGTATTATTGTCTGTGGCATTCAATTGAATCTGCCTCTGTGCACTTCCTTATACCTGTCTGCTGATGTGAATTCTTGAAATACTTAGGAGTCTAACCTCTTTACGACATGTTTTCGGCCATCCTTACTCTGTAGTGAACTTTCCTTTCCTTTGATTTCCTAAATTTTTCTTATACTTGTTTTTTTTTTTTTTTAATCTGTAATTTGCTCTCTAATTATATTGTGTATTTCTCATCTGTTTGTATTAATTATCAGTTGCTAAGTTACAGTATTGTCATAAGCTCAGTGGCTTAAAGTAATTATTATTACTTATTATCTCAGTTCCTGAGAGTTGAGGATCTGGACATAGCTTTCCTGGATCTTTAGTTTCACTGTCCCTCACAAGTCTGCAGTTAAGTTGTTGGTCAGGGCTGGAGTTTCATCTGAGGCTCAACTGTTCCCTTCCAAGATCATGAGGTTGTTAACAATACAGTCCCTCGAGTACTGTTATACTGAGGACCTTAGGCTCTTATTCACTGTCACTCATGACCCCCGTCAGTGCATGCTCTGTCGTCACCTCCATATGGCAACTTACTTCATTGCAGCCCACAAGGGAGAACATTAGTAGAGAATGCTCTAGCAAGACGCAAGTTACAGTCTTACGTAATAGAATCACGAATGTGCTGTCTGCTGCCTTTGCCATATTCCACTGGTTAGAAGTCCAGTCACAGGTCCCATCCAAACTAAAGGAGAATAGATTACACGAGGGCTTGAATTTGGAGACAGAGATTACTGGAACATTTTAGAGTCTGTCCAACTCTCTCCCTAGAACATCATGTTTCCTATGACTATCAGATTTGAGCACCTAGGAGTTACATAATGAAGGTTTATTTAATTACAGTTCAAAAAGGAGGAGAGAGAAAAATTAGGAGAGAAATACCTTTGACCTATTTTGGATATTTAAACTACCAAGATGACTACAGGAATTCTATTAGCTGTAAAGAAAAAGCCATGTTTTATTTCTTTATCATTCTAATTGTAATGTGTTTTTACTTACTGTAGTAATAAGGATGTAGAGGAAAA